TCCAGGTAGTTGAGTATCAGATTGTTCCATCTCGTTTCCCTTTGGGGTTGCTGTAGGTGATCTGGAAGTCTGTTTTTGAGGCTTGTTTTTGTGTCTTCTCATTTCCACCGGGTGGGGTGGGGGGGTGGTTCTTCTGGCACCCGCACAGCTCACCTTCTCTGCCCTAGGAGCTTGGGATGGCAGCGGGGGAGCTTCCTTCCAGGTGCTGAGACCAGCTTAGCTTCTCTGCCCTAGGAGCTTGGGATGGGGGTGGGGGTGCTTCCTTCTGGGTTCTGGGACAAGCTCACCTTCAGTTTGTAGAGGTTTCAGTCCATAATCACCTGGCTCCAAGGCAGGGTAGAGTTCATAGAGGTTTCAGTCCTATTTGGCTGGCTCAGAGAAGAAACAACGTGGCACACATGAAGTAGCAAAGGCAACAAGGGCTCCTGTCTCCTTCTTCACACAGCCTCCCTTCTTCTGCCTTTTATAAGGACTCTTGTCATTGAGTTTAGGCCCCACCCAGACAATCCAGGATAATCTCCAGATGTGTAAATTAATATCCAAGAGCCCACATTCACAAGTGCTATGGAAGGAGATGTGGACTTACGTTCCTGAAGTTCGCCATTCAACCCACCACAATCAGGTCAGCATCTTTTCTTTGAATACCCTGCAGCTAGACAGAAAGAACTCTGAGGTTATCATGGTGTGACAGTGACAGATTGCCTTGAACAGACAACCAGAGCCTCAGGCCTCCCTGCTTTGTAAACATTGCCAGACAAAGCAGTATTTGTTGCTTTTATTGTCTCTCAGCCAGATTTCAGTGTGGACCTTAAGAATAGCTAAGGATCCTGTGACATGCAAAGCACTTAGCAAAACCTCAGCAGCAAAACTCTTCTCACGAAGAGGAAATTCACAGGGCCGGGGTGGTGGCTCTGCTCCACAGTCATTGGGGACACCAATGGCTTCCAGATCAAAACTCGCCTGTCCTAAAATATGGTTCTGGTTCCCTATGGTCTGAGGTTCTGGAGCTCTGCTTATTACATCTTCATTTTAAGTACAATGGAGAAAGGCTGGAAGAAAGGCACACATGCCTATTTTTAAAGAGTTTTCCAGTGAGTCCTACATATAACTCCTACTTACATTTTATCAGCTATCCTTCAGGCTACACCAAGCTTTGAGGAGGGCTGAGAAGTCTTCTAGTGAGATGGCAAGGTGCCCGGCTGACATGGAGAGCCCTGTTATTAAAATAAAAGGCAAGAATGAATAATGGGAGTCAATATCGAGTCAGAAAATAAAAAGGAAGAGAAAGCACAAGCATTAATCCCAGCAAATTGTGTCTTTCATAGATGCACTAGCAAAGGAAAGAAACCCATGTAAGAATAAGCTTCAACTGCTAAAACTCAGCGGGAACTTAAACACTGAAGACACATGTCCCCAATACAGAAAAGGATATCCCAGAAGAGGATATTTCTACTGCTTTTGAAGAAACCGGAGTCATTCAACACCTGGAAAATTCAAAAGCTGAGAGAAAGCTGGGCTTCACAAAGAGTGCATGGCAGGGTTACTCAGCCTTCTAGATCTTAGGGGCCCAGACTTCAACCACAACTTCCGCTTTGACAAATGTAACCACCCCTTTGAGACAGGATTCATGGGCCCAAACAATGTCATAGAAAAAGATGATGTAAGTAGCCTACATTCAAAAGCACAATGCCTCCTTCAATGCCTACTTTCAGAAAGAATCTGGAGCCCTTATAACTACATGGTACCATAGGAACCCAGAGCTGTGAGAAAAGCAGAAATGTAAAAGGCCTGACTCCATTAGATGAGAAGCATGCCAAATACAACTGACATCATTGTAAATTTCTAAGCTCTTGGAAAGTGGAGAAATGCCTCAAATTTCACTATCCAAAAGAAGAGTCGTTCCTTCCTGGATTGGATAAAAAGCAGTATCGTCACTAGCTCCCTGAAGGGAGCTTTGTCCCAGTGGTACGAGTTTACAGATTTCACAGGAAGCATCCTCTGATTGCCATCCTGGCAAGGCTAAAACCCAAACCAGGGCTTCTGTCTGTCTCCATTTTCCCTCTGGACCCCACTAAGGTCCACTGGAGCCCTCAGCAATGCTGGGAGGATTTTGCTTTTGGTTGCAGATCCAGGAGCACAGCCTGTTTTGTTTTTTAAAATGCTGTGGCTATGGTAGCTTTGCTACTGAATATCAAATTCTTTATCATTTAGGTACATGAAAAGTGAGCCCAAATGTAGAGGTCACAAAGAGGCCCTTGTTCAGTCCTTCCCCTGAAACACCCCAGGATGCAGCTGCCAGAGAAATCCCAACCCTGCCCACCCTGCATGGGGAGAGCCCACCCCTGAGACAGGCTTAGGCATGGACAAAGCGCACTAGAGGACTTTAACTGAAAATTCTTAGACTTAAGTTCTAGACTTTAACCCATGAAAACAAGCAAACTGATTTTGAACTCTAATTTCTCAGGAACATTATTTTGCTTATAGGAACTGGTAGCACTTTACATTTCTCCCTTTAAAAATCATCATGGAAGAAAATCAGTACTAAAATTTGGAACATCTCTCTTGTTGGCATAAACGTATGTGAGCATCTTTACATCGAGCTTTGATTTTCTTGGAAAATTGGGTAGAAGTGGGGATCAGGATGGAGCAGGGGCAGATCCTCACTCTGGGCGGGGACTTCGCCTGAGTCCATCCTGGTTGAGATCCACTGCCCAGCCATACACCTGGGAGGACACTAAAAAAATCTGGGCTTGAAGTTGGAGTCAGGACTCTCCCAAGTGACCTGTTTGTGCCTGTTTACAAGATATTTGAAAAATGAGGGGGATGTTGGATGTTAAAGAGGAGACAACCCATTCTTGTGTTTACAAAAGAAGAAGTTCAGCTGCATTAGGGCACTTTACCCTTTTCAATTTAATGCACAATGAAAAACAAATCAGACTAGCTGAAACTAGTCCCTTCTTTTGGGTTCTGTGCCTACAGAGCAGATGTGTCTGATCCACTTGCTCTAGTGTGGTTGGAAGGAGGCTGTGGGGGGAACTGGGAAGTCACATCAACTCAGAAGTGATGACCATGTCCCTCCGGCCATGGAGCCATGTTATTTAGGCACGTGTGTAAGTAGCGCCTGTCCTGGAGCAGTGCTTGCCAGTCCTCGACACTGAGCACTTGCTCCTGGACACATAAACAGACACACATGCCACACAGGCACCCTCTGTGACACCGTGGTCACATACAATGAGCCCTCCAGAGTGCAGTAAAGGTGTGTCAGTAAGAGGAACCGAGCTGGATGCCCAAAACACAATGATAAAAGACTCCTGCAACAGCTGCTTCTGCAGACAGAATAGTTTCACAGAATTAGAGCCAGGGTACATTTCTTGAATAACATTTCTGTGGGTGGGAAATGTGAATGTGAGGTAGTATGGATTAAATAATGGCCTTAAGAGACTTTACGTTCAAAGAATGACCCAATTCTTACCCTAAATTTTCTACTAGATTCTGAAGTAATAAACACGACAGTTTGACTCCTACAAATATACTCCTGAATATGAGAGGCTTCACTCCACAAAGACTGCAGTCCAGCTGCCGGGCAAGTCCTCATGCGTTCCAACTTTTTATGTTCTTGAAGAAAAAAAACAACCAAACAAAACAAAACACATGGTTTCGTCTGGCAGATGCTGGAGCATAGCTTCTGCTCTGGACCTCAGATGTCCTGGTGCAAATTAAAACATGAAAGGTAGCCCGGTGTCGGCGGCTTCGATTGCCACTATGCTCGCCCCCTGGGTTGTGGGCAGCCGCTGCCAAGCTTCACCAGGTTGGCTGTTTCCTCAGTGCCAGAAACATGGTTGTGTAAATTAAGCGCTCTGACACAAACACCCCATTAGCTCACTCTGAACTGCATGATCACTAATCTCCCATAATTTACGGTAAATGCTATAGCGCTTCTTGAAATGCCACAACAAACTGTCAGCACCTTCAAAACACAGCAGCCCATCCATCAACTCAGAACGAGTCCTCGGGTTTCCTTTCATTACCATTAGGAGTGAAGAAACTGCCTCATGCCCTGAATACTCGTCCTGGTATGTGCTCCCACCTTGAGCAACCTGGTTCCCCTCCCAGGATGCATCTAGGCCACAGTCTCCGGCCTAAGGTAGGCTGGCACCAGAAGGCTCTCCACTTGGAGCGCCCAATTCGGGCCGAATCCTGTCAAACAGTTTCTGCCCTGACACATCCTCCCGAGAAAGTATCTTGAGGGAATTTCTGAGATCTCTGAATGATTTCTGCTATGAAATTAGTGAATTATGAGGACAGTATAGAATGGTGAACTGTTTAAAATTAACTATCATCCCATGCTCTGCCTTGACATTTGACTTCCAAAGCAAAACTAGTTTTGCTCAGCTTAATTTCCACTGTGAGATCGATGGACATGTTTACCTCTCCTGGCGATTCGAATGAAAACCTTCCTTTGAACTTGGGTGAAAGATTTGAGAATGTAAAGCAGTAACAAAACCAGAAAGTTGGCATCGCACTGTAGCACGTTGTTCCCTCCTGGATGCTGCAGGGGCCAGAAATAATTGGCCGCAGGGAGGACCCTTCCCACGAAAGCAGCCAGGAGCATGGGCAGGCGGATGTCCCAGGAGTGTCACTGTGGCCACCGTCATCTTCATTTTCTTTTATTTTCTGTTTGGCTTGGGCTCAGAGTCCAAGCTCACACATTTGCTGCATGCTGTTTTTATTATATAGAAGGCAGAGTTGTGGCTGTGGGCAGTGTGAATTTGGCAAACTCCTTTACAATGAAAATGTGGCCCACGCAGGCCTCCGTCCAGCTTCTGTACAGATGACGATTCCTGAGTGTTAAGTGATGGAACCCGAGCCACCTGAAACTACATCTTTCACACACAACCATTTTACAGCTAACTTGTTTTTACTTCATTTTACTTCGTATGTTGTAAAACCCAACTCTTCAAAATACCCCGCTCTGTGTTCATTATCTCTACTTCCCTTGCAGTTTAGGATTACGTAAGTGATTTTCTGCCCATTTTTGATGTTTCTATTACTTGTAGCGATAAGAGTTACATTTGGCTACTAAATTATTATCCCAAGCAAAGAAATATCTTGCCAGTAACTTGCCAATAATATAAAGTTATCTTCTGAATTATTACTTAAACTCCGATCTACCATAAAAACAAAACACTCTATAGGGGGCCAAGGATTTACCTCAGTGGTTTCGCTGCCTGCTGTGCAAGCGCAAGGACCTGAGTTCGATCCCTGGTACCAAAAAAAAAAAAACTATAATAAAAGGGAAATTTTGCAAATTTTGAAATAACTTTCAGTCTAATAAGTATCTCTGTGTATATTCTATGCAATAAAATTTGAGATCTAATAGTAAATCAACTTTTTAAAGTTTGAGAGTTTTACCAATTTTTTTCTCTAGAAATGAAACACTTTAAAAGCATCAATTATTTCTCTGCTCACAGTAATATATATACTATGAGCAGATACCGTGACTCATTTTACCAGATTCTCTGCACCCTCATTTCTTGTAGCACTTACAACTTATCTGTACTTTCCTCCTACCTCTCACTTCTTTGTTGTGTAGACTGTTTTAATCTGCAGCAGAATTCATTGTTTTCTCTCTGATTTTCCCTCACAGCTGTCTAAGAGCCAATCTAAAATTGAGGAGCCTATAAACCTGAAGTTTCTTTTCAGTAGTCCAAGGAAGAGGAGAGAGGTTTATAAAGGCCAAAGCAAGCAGGTGTGGTGGCACATGCCTGCAATCCTAGCACTCGGTAGGCTGAGGCAGGAGGATCACTGTGAGTTTGAGACCACCCTGAGCTACATAGTGAATTCAAGGCCAACCTGAACTACAAAATGAAATCCTGTCTCAAAAACAAAAAAATAAATAAATTTTTAAAAATGAAGGCCAAAGCAGCCACATCAGCAAAGCATATTCCCTATAATCAACAAGGAAATGGAAGGCAAGGAAAATGGAAGGACAGGATTTAAGAGAAAAATACAGACAACACCTTGTTGGTAGAAATTTCACTGGCGCTGAGCGGAGAGCTGGAAGGTGCCAGCATCTGCATTCTGGGCCCCACAGTGCAGCTGGAAAAGCCCAGTACCAGCCAGCAAGTGTTCAATCAGTTGATGGAGAAAGTCTCCTTCAGGGTGTGACTTTCCAGCCACATTCAGTGGGAGAGCCCGCTAGCGCAGGAGGAAG